CCCCCCCATTCTACATACAGCCTCCGTTGATACTGAACACCCCGCGCCCGTCCACATGTACATTGCATATATGCTGAGTTGAGAGATACCTTACAAACCTGGCTCCACCTGTTCAGTGCGCAGTTACTTAACGACTCGCCCAAGAGTATAAGTACTGTATGTACATCGTGACTGGAAAGATATATTTTCTTTTTCGAATCCATCCTAAGGAACCAAGCACCCCTGGACAAGATGTCGACACATATCAGAATACCCATCAAGAAAAATTGGGTCTTCAAGCAGGCTGACAAGGAAGATTCCAAGTTCCTGTCCGTTGCACAGTTTCCTACCAACGTGCATCTGGATCTGATAGCGAATGATATAATTCCCGACCCTTTCATGGGAAAGAACGAGAATGATGTCCAATGGATCGGCGAAGTCCCTTGGGTCTACAAGACCGCCTTCCCTTCCCCGACTCTTTCAATGGATGAGCGAAAAATTATCAAGGCAGTTTTGGCGTTTGATGGCTTGGACACTTTTGCTACAGTTGTGCTGAACGGCACGGAAATCTTGAAAACGGACAACATGTTTATTCCTGAACGAGTGGATGTCACCACATACTTGAAGAAGGAAGGGGATAATGAGTTGGAGATTACGTTTGAAAGTGCGTATCTCAAGGGATGTGCTCTTATGGAAAAGTATCCAGATCACCATTGGGGGTGTTGGAATGGAGATAGTTCTAGGTTAGCTGTGCGGAAGGCACAGTACCATTGGGTATATCTCCCCTTCTGCATGTGACAAGTCTAGCTAACATCTACAGGGTTGGGATTGGGGGCCAACTCTCATGACCTGTGGACCGTGGCGACCCATCAATCTAGAAATTTTCTCGTCTCGAATATCAGATCTTCACTTTACCACCCACGTCCCGGAAGCCCTCGACTCCGCAGAATTTATTGCTAAAGCAGATATCGAAGGCGAGGCTACCGATGTCAGGTTCGATATCTCGTTGGATGGAAAAAAGATTGCTTCGGAAACTGTCAAAGCATCAAAGGACCAAGCAACACACACTTTCGCCATCCCAGATCCAGCACTGTGGTACCCAATCCGATATGGGGAGCAACCTCTGTATACCATTACCGCAACCCTCCTGGAAAACAGCTCCGAGGTTCATATAACAAGCAAGAAATTTGGTTTGAGGAGAGCAGAGTTAGTCCAACGGCCTATGACTGACCAACCGGGCACGACTTTCTTCTTCCAGGTCAACAATATCCCTATTTTCTGTGGTGGTAGCGATTGGATTCCTGCTGATAACTTCATTCCGCGAATTAATCCTGAAAAGTACTATGACTGGGTAAAGTTAGTAGCAGACGGTAACCAATTCATGATTCGAGTATGGGGTGGTGGAATATATGAAGAGCAGGCCTTCTATGACGCTTGTGACGAGCTCGGTATTCTCGTGTGGCAAGACTTTATGTTTGGCTGTGGAAACTACCCAGCCTTCCCGTCGCTCCTCGCATCCATAAAAAGAGAAGCCGAAGAGAACGTAAAACTGCTCCGACATCACCCCTCCATCATCATCTGGGCTGGCAATAACGAAGATTACCAATACCAAGAAGGCGAGGGCCTTACATATGAGCCCGAGAACAAAGATGCAGAAAGCTGGCTCCAGACAAACTTCCCAGCTCGATACATCTACGAGAAAGTGCTCGCCGACGCGTGCGCAGAGCTGATTCCAGACACATATTACCACTTCGGCAGTCCATGGGGAGGGAAGGACACCAGGGATCCAACAGTGGGCGACATCCACCAATGGAACGTATGGCACGGCACGCAAGAAAAGTACCAGAACTTCGACAAGCTAATCGGGCGCTTCGTCTCTGAATTCGGCATGGAAGCCTTCCCGCACATCAAGACAATCGAGTCCTTCCTCCCGCTCGGCGCAGCCGACCCCGACCGATTCGCACAGTCCTCAACCATAGACTTCCACAACAAAGCCGACGGCCACGAGCGCCGCATCGCATTATACCTGGTAGAAAACTTCCGCTACGCTCCAGACCCACTGGAACAATTCATCTACAGCACGCAGCTCATGCAAGCCGAATGCCTAGCCAGCGCGTACCGGCTGTGGAAACGGCAGTGGAAGGGTCCCGGGAGGGAATATTGCGGCGGTGCGCTGGTCTGGCAGATCAACGACTGCTGGCCCGTGACATCATGGGCGATTGTTGACTTCTACCTGCGTCCGAAACACGCCTACTACACCGTGAAGCGGGAAATGGCACCCATCTCCTTAGGCGTTACGCGGAAAGAACACGTCGTGCCCAAGGACAAATACACGCGTGCGTTTGTGCGCAAGAGCACGGAGATCGAGGTCTGGGGCTCGAATCTGACGCTCGAGGACCTGACGGCTGATGTGGTCGTCAAGGCGTTCGATGTGATTACGGGCCAGGAGACGTATTCCCAAACCGTCGCGTCGGCGTTCCTGCTGCCGCAGAACCGCAGTACGGAAATCACGACGTTCAAAGTCCCCGTGCGAGCAGAACATACCGGCGAGGAAGGCCGCACGGTCGTCGCAGCGTATTTGTTCGCAGACGGTCGGCAGATCGCTAGGTATATCAACTGGCCTGAGCCGCTGAAATACGTGCATCTGCAGAAGCCCACTCAGCTGCAAGCGAACTTGAGCAGTGACGGCGGGAGTGTGGATATCAGTGCCGAGGTCCCGGTTAAGGGTGTTGCGCTGGAGGCTGTAGATGAGGTGGTGTTTGGTGATAATCTAGTGGATATCGTGCCAGGAGAGATAGTCACTATTGCCGTAAAGGGCGCTCGGGAAGATACCAAGATCGGGACGAGGTATCTGGGCATGGTCTAAGCGGGCTTTCTCCAGTTCAGGTTCTTTGAAGTGTAGTTCTAGCTCCGATGATCGTGGAGGTAGCTATTGAGCGAGTATCTGCATCCGATTCCCGTCCTTTGCGTTTTGTTTTGTTGTTGCTCATCGGGGGTGTTCTTCATATCTGTCCTCCATGTTATCCGATGGAATTAAGGAAGTTCCGGGCTCCAGCGCGTGGTATATAGACGGAGCATAACGGCCTCAGCACAATCTTGAGAAGTATCATTGATCACATTCTCAGGTTCCAGATTTCAGATTTCAGATTTTTCCTAGAACAAAATCCAAGCCTTCCAGCGCTCTTAAATACCCAGCCGAGGTAAAAACAGACAAGCAAGTGCTTTATTAAATATCTGGTATACTGTTCCTTCCTATCCCGTCGACTCTAGGGGGTTTTACCCGGAGTCGGTCGCTCGACTTAGCGCTATCACCTCACTGCACCTGATTTTCCATTTTTAGTTTCTTTCTTGATCTCTAAGCGGCCGGGCAATGGGCAGGTTTTAATTAACATATTCTATGCTCCAGAGAAATCCTAGACCCGCTTCCTTACTTGACAGTGCTGTGCCTTGTTTGCTTGTTTCCTTGCTCCCTTGCTTTAGAGGATTAGTATAGATATTTGAATAAGCATAGACCTGTCACATACGACCACAGACTGAGGAGAATTGGGCATCCCGTCCGCTCTGCCATACACAAGCCTCAGATCGGCAGATTAGTAGTTGGGTGGGTGACCACCAGCGAATACCTGCTGTTGTATGTCTTCTTTTCTTTTGCTCTTTTTTTCTATGGTCGTTTTCGTTGGTGGGGTACGTACTAACTAGTTTTAGGGTTTTATATACAAAAGATAGAACCTGAAATTTTCTATCGATGAACAGTTTTGGCATGCAAGCAGAGAAGTAGGTTCGTCGGAGCTAGATAAATTTTTTTCTTGTTTTGTTTCTTGGTGTTGGGGTTTCAATTAGGTAGGGGATGTGAAATGGTAGTTGATGGAGAGTAGGGGTAAGTGAAGGAATGTATCATGTGACTTATGGGGATCTTGGATACTGAACACAGCACCTTAATACTGGAATGTGGTTTTCTGTTTTGTGTTTCTGGAGTAACGTTTAGTAAAAGGGGAGGGGATTTGGGAAAAATATTTCACAGTAAAGGAGGGGTTGGGTTCTGGAAAGGAACTATGGAAAATATATCTGTACTGCTGCTAGAATTGACCACTCCACTCCCAACCATCCCACAGCCCCCTCAGATCTCAACACACGCCTCCATCCTCGCATTACCAAAAAGCAACCATTAATCGCACATAACAAGCCATATTCATCAAAATCGCCAACGTCACACTCTCAGCCTCCAGGAACCGTCCCCCCCGTCATCCTCGGGGAGTTCAATGTTGGGCATTGTCTATTCGGAGCGTGGGTGGGTGGGTAGAGTAGCGTGATGAAGGGGAGTCGGTAGTTGGGAGGTATTCTTGCTCTGTTTGGGGATTGAGTTGTAAAGGAGGGAAGAGAGTCGTTGATGAAGAGTTGGGAGGCGTGTATCAATACTGTTTCGGATAGGGGTATGTTGCTTTGCGCTGTGGGGGTTATTGAATTGTTACATGTAGGTATGATTCATAGGCAGGAAACTGTAAGTCTGTGAATAATGTCTGTCAATCGTCTACTTTGTAGTGCATTCACCAAGCTTGTGTAGACACTTGACGGCGCGACATGTTTCCAAGTCCTTGTACCTTTCAATGTTTTGAGATGGTGGTGATAGAGCCGTTTAGGGTTGAGTGATCAATTCTATCCTTTAAGAATGTCCGAGGTTCCAAAAGTACAGCAGCAGCACTTTCCCATAACGCCTTTCCGGAACCCCATGCCTTCCATACACTGAACGAAAACCTCCCCATACATAATAGCTATCACACCGATACCTCCGTCACACCTCCCTCTTCTTCTCTCCCTCCATCTCTACCCTCGCCCCTAGCGCATCCAACATGCGTCCCAAAAACCCCAACGTACGTTTATTCCAATGCACGCACCGCATATCATCCCTCCCATCAACCACATCCTGCACCAACAACCCCACATCTCTCTCATCCATAGCCGTAGCGCCTAAACACTCCCTGCACGTCCATTGCTGCACCTGTCCTTGGGCATAGATTGTTGATAGGTAGTTGAGGACTTGAGTCGGGGGGAGCAGGCAGTCGAGGGAACGCTGGTAGATGGCGACGCCGATGGCGGAGCCGTAGGTCGTTGCTGTGGGGAGGGAGGGGAAGGGAAATAGGTGTGGGGTTGTGAGGAAGGGGAGGAGAAGGGCGTCTGTGGTTGTGCTTGTAGGTGGTGGAGAAGGCTGTTTTGGGTCTGTGGTGGTAGTTGGGGTGTTGGTCTATAGATAGTTAATATATGTAAGGTAGTAAAACGGGAAGGCTCAAGGGAATGGAGTTTCCTACATCTTTGGCATGGTTTTCGACGTAATCTAGAAGCTCTTCAATCTTGCGATCGAGGATGGCAAGCATGCTAGAGCTAATTGTTACTTTCTCTTCAGTTTCGCTTGGATGTTTTGTTTTATTGTGCCGGAGCTTCATGGTCAAGGGTGGTAAGTCGGTCATGATTTATGATGGATGTCAATTGCATGGATTGGGTGAAGGGAAGATTGTATTTATACCTACCCTCAAGCAGTAGGCTTTTAATTCCACGTGATGCCGCCCCCTAAACCATCCCTCATCAGCCAAAACAACCGCACCCTCTCCACCCATCCCTTCAATCCCATCCCCTCCACTAAGACTACTCCCACATAACTAAATCACAGACAAAACCCCCCTCGTCACAATATTCAAGAACTTCGTATATTCCGTATAATGCGCAAGTGCATCCCCATCAATCGCGACCATTGCTTCCATCAGCGCCTGCATAACCGCCCTCTCCATATGATGCAACACAAACAGCGCATTGCGACAGGAAAGCCCATGGTGCTTCGACATCTGCGCAATACGGCGTCCAGTCAAGAAGGCGAAGGAACTGCCGTTTAGCAAGACTTCGTAGCTCTGGAACCACTTCCTGGCTATTCGATCGAGGGTTGAGGAGGTACATGGCGGTTCGGCTGCGGCTTTTAGAGCTGGGGTGAGGAAGGGTTCTTTGTGCCAGTCTGTCCATTCCATGGTCTGGTTGGCATTAATGGCTGGTGAGTAATGAGATAGGGTGTTTTGGAAGGGGGGCGGGAACTTACAATGTCTGCGGCGGTGCAGATGAAGGTTTGTAAATCGGGGATTACGTCTGAGGGGTACTTGGGTGGGCTTTTAGAGCCTTCTGGTGGCAGATCGGGGGTCTTGGGGGGCGCGTTGGGGTTACTTGGTGGAGGTGCCATGCTGAGCTTTTGATGGTGAATGATGGTGGGTTAGATACTGTGGTTGAGTAGATAATTGCAAGAATGAAGGCCTAGCGAGAATATTGACAAGAGGATTTTGATTGCTGGAAAGGGAAGAGCTCATATTGAGGTCGCGACTCCTTTGTCAGGCTCTAATTTGAAATTTCATGTGGAATTCGCATACCTAAATCCCTTCTTAAACCTTAATTTAATGATTTAGAGGATGACGAAGAGCACATGGGAAATTACCAAGAAGGAGCGAGGCTAAAGAGACGGCTTCATTATATTTCTTCCATGACATTATTGCTTCTACTTAAAAGACAAGTAAGAGATTAAGAGCCACGCCATCCAAGCGTTCCTTCTCAATCTCGTTTCCTTTACTCGTTTCTTTTTCGTTAATATATCCACCGAGCTTTGTGTCCATTCATGGCAGGACGCAGATTGCATCAGGCGAGGTTCTAGTCCATTCCTCTCCACCCTCAAGATGTCCTGCATAAACCATGTCAACCTCATCGAGTTCTTCTTCATCGGTTATCTGGCCGCAATACGCATTACTCGCTGATTCCCCTCCATTAATCCCACCACTTCCAACGTTCAAGTCCCCATCTCCACCAGTACGATGCTCTTTCTCATGTGCCGCGTTTTGGGGCGCAACTAGATGCGGCGGGAAATTTCTGCCACCCCCATCAAGTTTATTGGCGTGTCCGAAGACTGATTTCTGCTGATCTTGACAACCAGCACCTAGATCGAACTGTGGCTGATGGCTCGTATCTCTGACTGCACTGAACTCTGGTTGCTGTTTCTGGATCTGACTAATAGGATATCTCTCGTGGTTTTGGTTCTGGCTAGTATAGGAGGAAGGGATTGCCTGCTGGCTCTGGGGACCACGTATAAGTTGGAAGGGAGACGGATAAGTTGTGTCCTTGTCAAAGGTAGATTGGATTGGGCTTGGGGATAGCGAGAAGACAGACGGAGCTTGGGCGGCAACGTTAACTCCTTCGACCCTTTTAGGAGAATCGACAACAGGTCTGCCGGTCCCCGCGTCGGTAGCAAACTCCTCATTACAGTTGTTGAATAGTATGCCGGGTTGAACCATTGGTATCTTGGCAGGCGGTGCTTGATTCGTAGGTTTCCACGCCTCCGCCTGTGCAGCTAATGCTTTCTCGATCTTCCCGTTCTCTTCACCTGCAAGCTGGTCGATAGGAATCCCGACTCCTCCAACCGGTGGGCTTAACTGCTGTGGTATCTCGGGTGGCACATCTCTCTCTGGTATTGCTGCAGCAGTTGATATTGTTGTATCTTGTCCCGTTGATGTAGCAGTCGGCACTCTCGTATCTTGTCTAGTTGTAACAGCATAGCTTAATGTTATTGAGCCCAGATGCTCAACCCCACCTCTACAATTTTCCGGAACAGGCTTTTGAAATCGCTGATACACCTTCACATTCTGAACCAACTCCGTCCGCATCGCCCTGAAGAAGTTGTAATCCAATCGTTGGGTATGGGTCCAGCTAAACACACTACCACTCTCCTCCATATCCGCTTTCGAAGGCGTGGTAAAGTTCCGCTCGATGTCGGTAATCAGAGAATCTAGCCACTTGACCACATGGAACAATACATCGATTCTCTTGGTATTCTTAGCTTGTTTGAAGAGCTGTATACCTAGTTTCCTTCCTTCGTGAGTAGCGCTGTCGAGAGTTGCGTTGAGAAAGGTATGGTGCGCGTTCTGCCATTTGGAGAGGGTCTTAATTATAGAATCGGGGAGGTGTTTGGGGATCCCTCCTTCGACTTCTGCTTTCCTCTACGAGAAGGTAAGTTCAGGTTCAAGAGCCGTATGTATTATATGCTTACGTGCTTGTCGAACTCGACGAGAAATGTACGCAGCTCATCTGCCGGTCTGAGTGGTCTGCCAATCTTCAGCATCATAGCCTGTCTTGTCGCCATTGTTGCAAAGCAGGTGCACCAGATCTGGAGATGTGGCGATGATCGCGAGCAAGGAAGAAAGCGTGTTGTTGTTGTTGTTGTTATTTATGGAGGTTGGCAGATGGGAAGTCGAGATGCCATTATTCACCGCGCGATCGTAGAGATCGATAGGAACAAAGTGCCATTCACTGCAACTCTGCTCTAATTAAACTCGAGGGATACTCCTTGAATCTACCCTTCATCGAATGCTGATATCATATCAAGCCTTAATATAGAAGATCGAAAAAACTACATAATCAGAGGAAAGCACTGTTTTTCTGGTTATTATAACACACTTTCAACTCCCAACTCTTCAGGATACGGCTTAAAAGGGGCTTAAGCGAAGCGTGACGATCATCTGACAGGAAATATAAAGCTAGATTTATTGTCTTAAAGGGCTGCAGTTCACTTACATGAGACCAAAAACACATTTTTATGAGATCATTGAAGAAGTAGAAGCTGTCTTGCAAATTACGCGGCAGGGGCAAAGGGATGGTGAGGTATGTTTATTTATCACGTGATTTGGCTAGATACAACCTTGATTCAATCTTTCGTCTTGATCCTTCCTAAAACAAACTCCTTCAACCCAAAAGATACATAAAACCTGTTGTCTCCATCTTAACACTATGCACTATTAACACTCGATATCGAACCCGTTATTTGACTCTATCTCTTAGAAGTCGAAAAGATGAGCGACCATACCCAACTTGAACGGAAGGACCCGAACTCCGGAGACAACGCCAAGAATGGCTCAAGCTCTCAGCCTTCCGTCCCCTTCCCTTCAGCGTCAACTACCCACTTCCCTATACGCAGTCGCCGAATCGATAATCCCATGCCAGTCTCCGGGCAAGAAAATCAGACTCAAGTCACCACACCCGAATTAGAACCAAGAAACCCAGCGACAACAGCGCAAATACGCGAGGGCGCTGATATCCACGCTGCCCCCTCAGCGCGTCAAGCAACACTCCAGCATCCGAATCTCTCCCTCTCATTATCCCTACGTCCAGCTCCAGCTCCAGCAAAAGACGCCCGCTTATCCATCCAGAGCAGCAGCCTAGCCGCTACATATCCATCTACATCCACATCTACATCTGTCGGCACAAACATCATTGAAGATACCGGGACCTCAGCCGCATTGCCATTCTCGTTCCATCCAAACAGGAACACGGGTGCGTGTTCTAGTAATGCTGGTACGAGCACCGGCAAGGCTAGATGGCGCAGGAAGACAGTGAGAGAGCGGTTTTATGATCCGAGTAATGAGTTTAATTCTGAATTTGATATGGGTGGAGGAGGGATGAGTGGTGGGGGTGGGTGGAAGGGGGGGATGGTGATGAAGGGGAGTAGATGGGCGGGTGTGTTTGTGCGAGAGGGTTGGTGGTAGATGGTACAGGTCATGCGCATGAGGGGAGGAGAAATTACGAAAAGCTGCTATGAGTATGGGGATGGGATTTGTGGGGTTTGAGATGGTGGGTTCAGGGATTGGCAAATGGGCACAGGGGTTGAAGGGAAGCAGCTTTGCTTGTGTTATAAATAGGCTTGAATGGCGCATTCCAAGCATGAACAACTCATCCCATCTCCTCGAATTGCATAGGTGTAAAAGGGTTTAAAATATTTTAGTATCGTATTGTAACACTCCCGTATGCAATCCACTTCCATTAATGCCTACCTACCTAGGTGCGCTTGAAAAGAAAACCACCTGTTCTCGGTTATTCTAATGGAGCTGGAAATCCAAAGCGACCCTAGCTAAGATATTATCCGGTCCATACTACATAGCCCAAGAATAGTGTTGTATTTCGGGGTAATGATCTTGAATTGACTGCTGTTCTACAGTGGGAAGTATGCTGTATATATAGGGCTCTTCAAGCCCTATTTCTAAGCTTCGCCACAGGCTTTATAAGCTTTGTCACTTGCCACTTACAGGCTACAACAAATAGATGAGTTGGACATTTCCCAATACACCACCAGCACGGAAAATTAAGCTATCAGGAAACCATAGAGAAATAACTATCCGTTATAATTTATAGTATCTTACTGTCCACCTACTCCTTCTTTATATAAAAAACAGCCGGGTGGCATTAACCGATCAATTTCCATAGTGAGGATCCGTTTTAGGCTGCAGGGGACCTATATTAGCTCTCTTAGGTTATAACCCGATTATCCATTCTATGAGTAACCACTGGAGATCTGTTTAACATACTTTAGTAAACTATAGCCGCCTCCCTTACACTCTTGAAGACGAGACGTCGTCTTAGCGAGCGCTTAGCCCTTTTGTTTTGTTTGCGCCGCGCTATTAAGCGCCTACATTAACGCTTGAAAGGTGAAACTTTCTGGGCGTTGCAGTCAGTACGCGGCGCAGCAATTACTATACAGTGTGGCTCCAACACTTCACAGCCATAGTCATTAAATGCATAGAGAATAAGGTTAGACTGCGGAGTCTCTCTCTCTCTCTCTTAGGTGTTAATTGCTGCCATGAAATCCACATTGCATGATATTAAATTCCAAGCCAATATTCTTAGGGTTTTCATAACCATAGCTGCGAGCACCGCAATCGTCAAACCACCTAGAGATAAATAAACTAGGCCTTTGCTTTCAGCTCTATTTCTTGAGTTCAATTGCAATTTCTTTCTCACTGAATTTCCGTGTCTTCAATCTCAGCATAGCAGCTAATTCTTCTTGACTCATGCCGACCTGAGATCCGATTAGGACAAGCTGTCTAGCCAGATATATATAATTCTTTGTTGACAATCGATACGTTATTTCTAGGTAATCGATAATCTGAAATACTAGAGCGCCTTCATTCGAATATCGGTCTTTTGCAGTAAGGAAGGCATGGGGGTGATCTCTCCAATGGCGTAGAGGGTTGAGATGATGCGATGTGTGGTAGCCGTCATTTAAATAGAATCGATTCGACTTCAAATACAGTTAGAAATATAAAGTACCAGTTTGAGCGAAATTTGACTTACTGGAACATCAATAAGAGTAACACTTGATCGAAAATCAGAGTCTGGGTCAACATCATCAACTAGAGCGTGTTGCCCCCAATTTCCTATCATCAAACCTAATCGAAGGATTGCGAATGGCAATAGGAAGACAAACAATGTTGGCTTAAAATTCCATCTTGCGAGAAAATACATAGCAGCGTATGAAGACAACTCGGTGCATGCGACTCGGGCAGCAAAATTATATTGGCCCTTGGAAATGAAATAGCAGGGTAAATCGAACCAGCAGAAGAACAAGAATCTGAATTTGTAGTTCAAAAAGTCAAAAAACCGAATCTTGTTGATATCGAATTGTGCTCGAGATATCTTCAGGGCCGTTGCCTTCGACATGATGGGCCTTGACATGGTGATAGTAATACGAGCCCCATGTATGACCCATAAGCGGTTCCAGGATATATGGAAAGGCCCAGTCAAAAGCGGCGTACTCTCGAGAGAGAATACCTCGATTATGAATATGATTGGGCATCATTAATGTAAAGCTCCCGAAGCACCATCCAATATAGATGGTATGCAAAATACCATGGAGGAGGTGGAAGTCGTAGAAGAGGTATATCGCACTTGGTAATGTAGTTGTAAGATATAATATAATATGCGACACAAAGACCACGTCGGTTTCGTGCCGAGCAACAGTTCTAGCCCATTTCACATCGCGCCACAAGACTTTCTCGTGGATGTTCTGAAGACTTTGGAAACTATTGATTTCATGGTCCCAGGAGCAAAAGACAGTTTGTTCAAAGTGAGGACTTTTAGGGTCGTTGAGATTCGCAAGAAGCTTCAACGCGGATGCGTCCCGAGCTGGAGTTCGAGTTTGGTCAAATTCGTGGCCATCATCCTTGGTCTCAGCATCATTGACATGTCGGTACAAGACTTCCAGGACAATATTGTCAGAATGAGTGAAGAATGCCGTGTCTGGGGCTCGCTGTGTGCTTGTGCAGGTTGTTGGCATTGTGGCAAGTGCAGGGAATTGCGAGACTGGTAGCGGTTAGAAGGAATAAGCGTCAAGAACAAACAACAAGTTTAGAAAAGAATTACTGCCAGTAGTCAATGAAAAAAAACATGAACAATCAAAGTTTGTGCAGAGTTCTAAATATCTTGACTGACAAGTCATCTCAAAAAGAGGCTATGTAGACAAGAGTTGCGTGGGGCGAATAGTGGACGAATATGATATTGAAGAGGCGTTAGAGGGTGTGCAATTATCGTGGATCGTATGGGGTGATGTTGAATGAGAAGGGATAGCGCTTACTGCCCGTGCTTGGGGCTCAAGGATTATTTCTACGATGTAACCCACCCTCATCCCTTGCCATTGCTTCTGCGACAGACCACGACCTAACGATAGAAAGGCTGTAACCTTTTTGTTTAATCTGTGAGGCACGGGGTGGTGGGGTGAGGGTGAGGGTGTTTGGCCAAGCGCCGGACTTCGTTGTATGTGTTGGCACAGCTGACATCTGAGCCTCCTCCGCATTTTCCCCTTTTTCCCTAAATGGGGGTTAAAACCAAAGCTAGCCCCAATTCCTTCTACAAGTCTTTGCTGTTTCGAATTTCTCCGCTATTCTCAACTTCGTTTTCGCGAGACACAAATCCAATCTGCGGCATGGAGTCTGAATCAAACAACACTTGTAAACTAGTCTCATCAAATCCATCTATTTTTGGCCATGTGCTAATGGATATTGAAAGTCGAGTCCTGCTACTTAAGAACACATTACTAGCAGTGATTATCTCTACGGTCATCGATCTTCCAAAGGCCTTTGCGTCTCCTCAATACTCCAATGGCGAGAGTGGGTCCTTATACAATCTAACAGCGCCCGACAACACCACCACAGGGGAGATTGCTTCGGAGGGAAAGGAGGTATCTTTTAGCGTAGCACAATGGGATCAACGGGGTACAACAATCCGTCGTGGCGGTACGTTGGAGACTTGCCTTGGAAATCTTAGCATGGCACTCGGGCAAGTAACCAGAACCAGTGCAGCAGAGTACAATGGTGCAGCTGGTGCACTCAGTCTTCTCCCCACGGCGGGAGCACTTATTGGGGCTCCAACAAAGGAGCTTTGGGTGGTCACAAAGCTAATGCCTCTTGCTGGACTATGCTCGATGCTACTAAGTCTTGGGGGCTCGATGGTACCTTCGAGTGTCAGCGAGTATGACCCATCAGACACCTATACATATGAGGGAATGATGTCGTCCTCTGCTGCAATCCAGAAGCGTGTTAATAACACAGCTGATAAAATCGGTGCAGCCGTCGCAGATGAAGACGAAAAGGTCAATCCGTTAAAGCAAGAAATTGAGGCACGAGTTAGTAGTTTCAACGAAGGTGGTGGCACGTACACAAGTATCTGGTACGGATTATGCGGACAAGTTATTTTGATCGCTGCATTGATTATCCCTCTGTACTTTGCGCAACTAGGGGCAGTAATTGAGTGGTGGTGTCAGGTAAAGCGATTTGCTCAAATCCATTTACTCTTGAATAACGAAGAATGCAGGCCCGATATTGGATGTTCTATTGGTACACGATTGTCGCCTTGTCTTCACTCCTTGAAAACTTCTCCGGTATACCTTTCACCTACCAAACCACCGTCCGCATTTCCAAACGGCCGGATAATCTCAAGCTTGCCTCGAATCTCACCAAAGTAACGCCTACATCGTTCGATCTAGAAATGGATCCGACTCTTCTCACGATAAACAAACTCCGCTATGACCGCATGAACACTAAATCTTATCTTGAACTCCCCAAGTCCTACGCTTGGAATCGCAATTGCTTCTATGTCATCTTATCTGTCGAGGAGATCAAAACTTGGCATGCTACAATCCGTGTTTTCTCCAAAGCATTTTCAGTTGGCGTCTATGCTGTCGGCACAGCGACTTTTGCGTCGGCCCAATTCGTCTCTATTACCATTGCACTTATGACTCTTACTATGGTTCTCGGTACGGCAGTCTTAGGCCGAGTCCTCAGCCTCTGGATGGCCAAACGCCTCATGAGCAACGACCCGATTATCCACAAGATAGTCAAAAATGATTCCGAGGCATCTCGAGAGTTGGATATGATTTTTGGGATCCCAGGGTTACAGGTCGAGATTATGGGGAACGTGGTGGTGGACGGGTATGCTGTGCACAGGAGAAGTGAGTGGCTTACTATTGCGAAATACATAGGGGTCTGTGCGGGACCGTTCGATCTGGGGACATTGCAGGTTCCAAGTCAGAGGACGTGGTGGAAGTAAGGGTTCCCAAATCGTGGGTATTGATACTGGTAATGCTGCTTGGTGTTTAGGTTAAATCAGGGATTTTTCGAGAAAAAGGTACTGCACTTGGTCACTTGCCAATCGGGAGTCTGGATTGGGAATCGTGGATTCGCCTTTGTTTTACACTCTCCTAGATATTTATTATCTTAGTGCAATGTGCCGCGGGTGGTGTTCCGTAAGAATAGCGTGGGTGTTTGGTTGTAAGGCAGGGACTTGAGTTATATAAAAGTATAAATAGATATAACTATTACTAGGTTGCTAAGTATAAGTAGATATACTATATTTAAGTCAAGCATAAAGCTTCTATCTAATAAACGACTGTTATAAAACTTATATAGAACCTTTATAGAGGACAAACAGGTGTAATCACTTTAACTCTTAGGGGGTTTATACTATTCGCTTCCAGTTAAATAATACTATATGCCTAGCTAATAGGGTCTTCTATAGTCCTTGACCTGCTAAAGCTATGGTCCTATTAGTCTATTTAGTACGTGTTATAATATTTAGATCTATGGATATTCTTGAAGCTTCGAAGAGGAAATCTTCGATAAGAAATCTGATTGAGTAAAAGTCTCTCTTGTGTGCCAAGATCCTGAAATCGAAGCCCAAAGCATATTTCATGAACCTTTTACGTCTCAATACATGAACTTCATGGCTATTTAGACAAAAGAATCACATCAGATCTATACGGCAAGAAGCTTCAAAGTTAAACTGTGAAGCGGCAGAGGGTGGACTTGTGTCACGCGGGATGGGATATCATTGATCCGCGCCGGTCATGTGTATACAAATCCTCTTTCGACCTTTAATTACAGCTCACGCTTTTTGTTCTTATTCTTCAGACGTAATGCAGTTTATTTAGCTCAGTTGCATTGCTTCCTGCGACACGTGATGAGACTACCTTGCACCTTCATTCCTTCACAACGCACGATTCCGTCATCTCGCCATAAATAGTACGGAGGAAGGTGTTTAAATCTGAGAAGGCCAGACGATTTCCCAGAACCCAGGATAATTGGCGTACTTGCCAACTCACCAGCGCTGGGAATAGTGCACCGGCCGAGGACTCTTTCTCCATAAACAGCAGCCATCTTCATATTTTACTATCCTGATTATACATTTTTCCCACTATAATCTTTGATCATGTTATTCGAACCACTCGATTTCGAACCCATTAAAGACGATGAACGGAGTGTCTTGAATAGTGATGCTCAACTGGATATTCTCGGTTTGTTTGAGACAGCTATAAGCTCTTCACCATCTCCTAATATTGATGAAAAAGCGAAGCGCTTTGTCTCAGATCTGGTTGCATTCGCCCCGAAGGAAAAGTCTGGACTAGATGCAGATATTATTGCTTCTATTACCTGGAAAGTCCTGATAAACACCGCAAGTTGCATTCATTGCCGACACTATGGACAAGATGTTCTCGTCAAAATTGTTAGCTTATTAGGTACCGCCGGCGATACGTGGAAAGATCACCCCGGGTTTGGAATTGTCATGAGGGAAAATTGGAACCGCAGTATGTACCTCTACGAATAGTTCTCTTAGAGCAAAGTCTAACATTAGTATCAGATCCCGTATTCCAGCTTGATGATGATGATGATGATGATGGCCGAGAATTCACATTGGATGAATGGCTCAACCTCAATTCTTTCGTCGCCAGACTAGGCAAGGAATTTATTAGCTTCGGTCTCTGGGAGTTGCGAGATGGACTAGAAGGACCCCAAGCAGAGGAAACGGAAACATCTGCCCCTGTAGCTGTGATCAACACTCGTGTTCTTGTTGCGACGGAATGGATTATACGAGGTGGGCGGGGACTCTTGCGAGAGTCGTTACTCAATTCCTTGTCACATGAGCCGAGGAGTGGGAAGTCATGGAATGGCGGTCCTTTGTTTCCTGGTGCTAGGGGCTTCAATCTTGAGCGGTGGGGCTTTTGGAAGCGCCGGTTGGGAGAGTTACGGAAAGATGCTGTTGAATCTAGTCAGAATGCGATTGATGAAGCGGTGGAGCTAATGACGGCGTTAGAAGCTGAAGCTGCGAACGCTTGGGGTGTAAATTAGCAGAGGACAGATTCTTCATCCATTGGTTTTGGGTTTCTTGCTAATATTAGACTGTTTGATTGAGTGAGCTGGAAGTATACTTGAGCACCATCTGACAGTAGCCGGTATACTCTACCTACCTATATAAGCGTTTGCTATTTAAGCTTTGGCGAGATCGTCTATGTTCCACGATTACAATATACCCTTTCTTATTATCATCTTCTATGTCTACCAATTTCAACTCCATACTTCCTTACTTTCATAGTGCACACTGCTAACTGCTCGGGATACTCAAGAACACTCTCGGCTTCCTTCGAAGCCCCTGCCCTACTGCAGCTCAAATCCAAAGACAAAAGTGGAAATCGCAATGCCGACTGCGCATTTGCATTTAAGATATCAATGACACAAAACCAAACCCATTCCTCACTATGCAACTACAAAACCTCCCAAGCTACGAGCCCATTAGCTCCCCGTCTTCGAATTCGCTACCCCAAATCAAAGAAATAATTAACAATCAACAATTAACAACAAGCAAGCCAGGGAATCAAAACATATCATTCAGCATCAAATCCCCCATATTAAATTATTTAAACAACAGAGATTACTTACTCCTATAAAGCTTATCTCAACATATGCACGTCCTCTCATTCTCTCATTCTCTCATCCTCACTCTCGCACAACCCCTAGTTCTAGCAGTCTAGACCATTGAAAATATATTCGAGTATCTGGAATACTGTTGGGAATGGTTGGCAATGCTTATTTCATTGGCGTTAATGATATCGGTTGCGAGCAGAACTAGGGGGGTGAAATATATGAATTATACGGACATGGCATCATTATCAAATAACGCGACGGGTTCTGATATGAAATTATTAGATCATGGCGCCCGCCCGCCCGCCTTTGCATGTTATCCCTTCCCATCTCTCATAATTAACTAAATCAACCTAACGTATTATCCCACATACTACCTACCGTCACCCCCTTTACCCACTCCCCCGAACTCCCACCATCTTTCACCGTAACCCCAACCTCCCTCTTCCCATCTCCAGGTAGCAGCCAAAAGGCATTATCGTTAAAATTCCCCAGCGTGCCGGCCGGAAGGTCAAGCCACACCCAAGCCGCGACTCCCTTCGTAGCCTCGACCGTGAAGTTCCCCGTCTGCTCATCATAATCAAGCACGAGTCCCGGATCTTGCAGGTTTGCGTCGCGGAGAGAAAGCGTGTGGAAGTAGTATTCGTGTGTGAATACTTTGGGCTCTTTGGTGTTGGGGACGGTGCCGGTGGCTGTGATGTTCATTTTGAGGATTGCGTCTTTGAGATCGTAGCCAAGGGTATTGGTATTGCCCTGAAATACCTTCGTGGTATTCAAGGCCCCAACCACACACGGTACCGTTTCGATGGGTGCGAGTAAAGTGCCGTTATACGCGTACCAAGCTAGTGTTGCGGTCCCAGAAGTAGAAGTCCAGAGATCAGAAGTCACGTATGCGGTGAGATCGCCGGTCGTGTAATTCCAATAACTCGCAATGATGACAGGTTGGTAGATATTTTTCGCTACATAATGTAGCACTTTCCATCTGCCGTCATACTCGATCCCTGCCCATGTGGGCGCTTGCCAGATGTCTTCGAGTTGCCAGTACAAGGAGCCGAGTTGGCGTTCTGGGAAGCCGGAACCACGTCGGTAGTAGGTGATTTGGCTGCGGTAGAAGTCTGCTTGGAAGATCTGCGTGGTGTGGCACCAGGCGCTGAAGTTGGCAACGGAATCTGCGTGGTGTGGGGTTGGGTAGTAGGTTTCTGCTGCAGTGGTCATTTCACCCATTCCAAGGGAAGCGTTGCGGAAGTTGGAGGTATTGGTGCCGCCAGCCGGGTAATGGTGGTTCCGGAGAACGATGGTGGAGCTGTTGAAGTGGAGGTCTTCTGGTGATACTGCTTGTTGCCATGTTTGAAGACTAGGCATGGAATGGTATCCGAACTCGTTGGCAAATCTTCCGACTGGGTAGCTGGAGAGATTGAACGCTACGCTTGAGTCGTAATCATAATGATCGGTGTCTCCGTAGATGGAGCCAGCCGTTTTATTATCGTATCTTTGAACCATTGGAATTGGCAATGAAAAATTGAGCTCGAGATAGCCATTAGTAGTACTGCTGGGAATGTAAGAGATTGATTTCGTGTTGCCATACACGGCTGGAAGCAAAATGTCCAGGAAGAGCTGCTCGTATTCATTTTTCCATTTTGGGTTTCCTGGATCCTCATATTCTGCTACCACGAGTTCGAGATTCTCAAGTTCATTGCCTCCAGCCCAAAGTGCCAAAGACGGGTGATGGTTTACTCGTCGTACATTGTAATCGGCTTCCTCTCGGACATTGTCCAGGAATTCGGAATTCACGGGGTACAATGCATCGCCGAACTCAAATTCGCTCCAGAGCAAGATGCCCATCTCATCAGCGATATCGTAGATAAAATCCGGAGAGTAAGCTCCACTAGCCCAAACTCGAAGCATGTTTTGATTTCCATCCACAACAGATTGGAAGAGCTGCTTCATTTTCGTTTCCGTCACTCTCGGCCAGAAAGCATCTGGTGGAATGAAATTAGAGCCTTTGGCATAGAACTCTTGTCCATTGATCTCGAAATGCCAGTTGTTGCCCGGAGCTATTCCTTGAGCTAGTTGTTCCTCGGATATGGGTGTCATGTTCAAGACAATGGTCCTGAATCCGCTTCGTTTGGTCGCCGTCGCCAGGGTCGTGTTTCCATCTACCACGCTGATCTTGAAGTTGTAGAGGTTCTGAGCTCCAAGTCCACTTGGCCACCAAAGCTGACAAAGTGCACCATCCACAACTATGCTGCCACTTATCGTCGATCCAGAAGCCGAGACATTCTGCAAAGTCCCGCTAGTGACCGTGGCATTGCTTAAATCCAATATCTCAACCTTCATTTGAGCCGTACTTGGGACCGTCCCAAGGAGATCGAGACTAGCATTTACCACCCATGGCGCACTTTGGTCAGGCGGCAGATTATTCAGCTGACCCTGCCGATAAATATCCAACAGCGTATTCCTAACATAAATGCCAGAAGAAGGCAGCTGCACCACATAAGCAGGCTGCCATATCCCAGCCGGAGCAAATGCTGGACCCCAGTCCCACCCAAAATCACTCTGCTCCTTCCTCATAAATTGCCGGTTCGCGAATTCGAATTGTCCTTCCACGTAAAGAGGCCATGTTTCTTGGCCGGGCTCGTTGGCGATGTCGGCGGTGATGTTTACTGCCGAACCGAAGTTGATGCTGAGCTTGGGTGTTCCTGAGCAAGAGGCAAGGATGCTAGAGACATCAAAGTAATATTGGCGGAATTGGTTGCTGGTTGAGGCCACGTGTTGGCCGCATAGCTCAATGGATGTGAAGGTGTCTAAGCCGTTGAAGAGGAGCCATGTTGATAGGCCGGTTGATGTGTCTCTGGAGACGGTCAGTAGCCTTGCACCGTATGAATCCTCAGGTTTCTTTTTAGATGAAGATTCCCACTCCCGTGCGGTTTGACTTTACATGGATATTGTATATTGAAAGTTCACTTACAGCCCCTCCAAACCCGTCTCATACGTCCAATTCCCATACCCAACCCACCTCAACTCAAAATCCCCCAACCCAAAATACGGATCCGGAATCACCCCCTCGCGATACAAGTCCAAATGCACCTGACCAGGCACACTCGCCGGCACGGTAATATTTGTATAAGTAGGGGAATAGAGCGTCCATTTGAGGGTACCGAGATCCAGTAGCTGTTGCGCGATTGTTGTGGTAGACAGGAAGGGAAGAAGGTGCGAGGACTTCATAGTGAAGATATTGGAGAGAAAATATGAAGAGGGGAGGGAGAGGTAGAAGAAGGGGAAGAAGAGGGGAGACATCATCACGGGGTATATGGTGTGAGGTTTTTATATGCATGCATGCTGACTTCTCTTCAAAGTATGTAGGTACATGGATCAACCGGCAGGAAATGGATGAATAGCCAACGTTGATTCGGTAGCTGCGAGTTGGAAGCTCGAAGAAATGATGTCACTTGGAGCATCTTCCATTCCTGTCACGGAAGGACATGTTACGTGAAGCTATTGCAGCAAGATACCTGAATGCTTTTGGAATGAGTCGGGGTGTTGATTGTGGGGTTGAGATGAGGGGTTGAAATCTGTATGTACGAAATATGTAAGAGTTCTAGCATCTTTTTAGAGACGATCGACATCGGGGGCTTACCTACTATAACCGGTTAGGGCAAGGAGTGCGATTTTCTTTTTCCCGCAACAGCACTTTGTACTTGAAGTAGTAACTACTTGCGGAGTTGAAGGAACGCTAGTATGGTTCAAAGTTCTCGGGAGCCCTAGAGCACTATACGGCCGTATAGGCTGTTCCATGAACTTTTTTCAGCTGGCCTGGGGTAAGGAGATCCTCTTCTACTAATTAAGCTAGCATAAAGCTTTGCGTATAATCAATACTTTGTATTGAACTAAAATGAATTAGCTTTCCCGGAATTTAAACATCTTAAAAACTATATTCTTTATGTTAGAGATATCACTTTCACGCTGAACTGCTAGGGTTCCTTCAACTTCGCGAGTTACTTGGAGAGGTATTGACAGGAGAACTATGCTTGATACTTTCACAGTTGTGGTGGCGGTTGGTGTTCTGGCCTGGTAGTTAGAGAGGTCGGTAGGTGCGGGTGAGCTAGGTTGCAAGCTTGGATTCTAAGCCCAGGTAGGGCAAAAGCTGGTGAAGCTCGTAGGGCTTGAGGTAGCTACCTGTATGTATGTAGCAGTTTTAAATGATAGCGAACAATTGCACCTTGCAATCTCTGGCTTCCGGGCTGGGGATGTTGAGGAAGAGCATTGAACCATTCTGAGCAGGGTGATGGATGGTCTCAGCAGAAGTCACAGAAGACTAACACTATAGAAAGGAAACCCCGGCTTCTAATTCAAATGCAAATGCTTCTCATATGAGTCTAATCCACCATTATGCTGTTTATTGTTTTGATGTACAGACATACAAAAGAAAATTCTTGCAGGATATATGCAATACAATGGAACGTCTCAGTCAAGCAGTAATTTCTGCTACAAGATCAAGATCATTCATACCTGCGTCTATCACCCCACAACCTCCAGCATCTCTCCCTTATCCATCCCTTTTTTGCACTCAGTGATGAGCACCAGTGTCACCGTGATACCCAACAAGCTTGAACCGGCCGATCATCTCTCCCACTGTCCAGAATCCCAAAAGCTCTGCCACAATAACGCTTCCAGAGACTACTTTGGCCGTGTTCAGGTTGCTTCGCAGTTGCGATACAGTGTTGGAAGCTTGTGAGATGGCTGGGCCGGGGTTTCGGGCAATTTGGAGGAGACGTTGATAGTATGATTGGAAAGCGGAAACGGGACTAGAAAGACAGTATCAGTATCCCATACAAGTACCGACCTAGGGAGCTCTTGACTTACGGAGGAGACATCTTCTGTCCTTGGAAAACAATCTTGGAGAGCTCAAGTCCAACTCGCGCGTAGTAGACGGTTGGAGGGATTTGTCCTAATCACGCAACATCAGCCATTGAGTCCCCAAACATCGCACACGCATCCCCATGGATGATCCGCAGAAGCCACTTACGCTCAACAAACTTGATGAGCTTTCCAGTCCGGCCTCCAATCTTGCCGAGGGCATTTCCAAGACTCTGCGCAGCGTTGCTGATCGCGGGCCCAGCAGACGAAGTAACCTTCGACAGACCTTCTGACGCTTTCGACTTGTAGTCTGCAGCAGTCTGCGAGGCCTTTGAAGCCGTGTCTTTCGCTGCCTCGGAGGCTTTGGCTGTCGTCGATGATTCGAAGCGGCGAGCTGTCCGTCCGGGTAGCTTGGTAGATTGCCGCAGCACGGCGCGGGAGATGCTCAACGACATAATGGTGACTCTATGTGCCCAGAAGACCTAAGGAAACGAAGACCTGGATTGTGGAGAGAGTGGTGGGCGGGCAATTGGTCGTTGGATAGAAATCGCGCGAGGGTCGAGAAAATGTTCAGATTGTCGGAAATTCCAGGACAACAAGGGTTGCCTTACATAAGCATATCCCGGAGACTTCCTTCCCAAACCGAGCCAAGCTCCCTTTGCGATAATGGAAGAGCTTTCGGAATTTATATACACAGGCAGACAGAGAAAAAGGTAGAGTTTCATTCAAAGATATTCTAAAAGCTATGTATATTATCACACAATATCCATCTAATGTTCTTCACGTCATTTCTCAGTCTTCACTCTTTATTTGCACCTTAATGGCGCCCGTCTTTGGGTCTGCAGCAGTAGCAAAAGCACTAATAGCATCCTCCAATTGGTAACGGTGAGTGACCAGCTTCTTCATATCAATCAGGCCACTCTGTACCAGGCGGATGGCTCTGGGCCATGTGTTGCAGTATCTGTACTGAAACTGTAGGTCAACTTCTCGAACGCTCAGCCTCATGAACGGGATGGTCATCTCGTTCTTCCCTACACCGATCACGAATACCTTGCCTCCGAATTTGACAGCCCAGATGGCAGCCGATACACTGCTCTCGACACCAGTGCACTCGATTGCCACTGCCGGCTCAATGCCGCCAAACGCAGCTACAATGGCCTTCGCAGAGTCTTCCGCCGACACTCTCTCGACCTTGAATGTTGTGACTGATGGCACGATCTTCTTGGCGAATTCCAAACGTCCCTCGTCGATATCGGTAATAACAATGGGGCAAGCGCCAGCAGCTTGACAACAAAGCAATGTGATGAGACCAATGGGACCAGCGCCGCAGATGAGGACTGGATCTCCCAGCCTGACCCCAGATCTCTGCATGCAGGCGAGAGAAACACTCAGCGGTTCCAAACACGCTCCATCTTCGAAAGACATATCCCCAATCTTATGACACCAAATAGCTGGGTGGTTGACATATCTGCGGAGGAGACCTGGAACTGGTGGGGTTGACAGGAATTGGACTTTCTCGCATCCATTGTATCTGCCAGTAAGACATGGCTCGCATTCGTTGCAGATGATGTTTGGTTCGATAGCGACGCGGTCTCCTACTTTGAGGTTTTCGACAGAGGGGTGAGCTGCCAATATGACGCCTGCGGATTCGTGCCCCAAAATATGTGTGTCTGTAACAATCATGGGCCCAATGCAACCAGCATGCCAGAAGTGCACATCTGATCTAAGGAAATGTCAGCCGAGTCCTAAGAGCCTTTCTCTCGCAAACTTACCCGCAGATACCAGTGCTCTTGATGCCAACTGTTACTTCACCCGGCTTCAAACTATCACCCTTCTCAACACTCTCCAGAGACGGTTCGGCTTCTGCGACCCAGAGTTCATGCTCTGGATTAGTGTACACCCCAATGTTGGCTTTTGTTGGCCTCGCCATTTTGGAAGATACAATCTCAGTTGCTGAAGGAGCCATGATGGTACTTGTCTTGTTTGTTGGCAGATTTGCGGGGGAGTGCTGGCTGGCTAAATGGGATTGCAGATATTGGGAATGCGGGCAAATATAAGAACTATCGTCAACTAAGCCGGAGTCCTGCGCCCCGCAACCTTTCAGTCAGCCGTTAAAGGGAAAAATGAAAGGCAACTAAGCACCTGCTATCCACGAATTAGCAACCTTCTGGAGGGGAACTATCCCGAGATGTATATTGGCCCTATCCACAGAATTTCCACACGTATTGGATTGCGGGCCATGTTGTCGGCGGGGCACGATCGGCACGATTGAGACCGACTGCACGGGCTTTGAAGGTCCATGCGCTCCAATCAACGTGAAGTTTCCATCTATAACTTTCTATCAAAAATAACGGTCGTCCCGACAGGAAACGAGTTGCATCCTGTGTTCCAAAATATGCCACCCCATGTTTCGGGAATATTGTGGCTTTTTGCGAGAGTCTTCACGGTATGCGGTCCCAGAGTTGTATCTCAGGGTGTGATATTAATGGCGTCATGCATGATGAGGCTCTTTTCGACATCGCCCTCTATCTCAACGTCGAAAGGTTTGGGAATAGTCTCGTATTCTTCTTAATTTGCTTCAGGCTTCTATGATTACTTTCAAAGAAATAATATAGTTGAGCTGACTCCCAAGTGAAGATTATTATATACGGACTACTAAGTTCTTGGCGCTCCCCCACTCTTCTTCACCTCCCCGCACCAATCTAGCATTGTTAACCACCAGATACCGAATGTCAAAATGCCTCATGTTCCACCCCATCCAATCAAGCTCGCCATCCTCGACGACTACCAAAATATTGCAGCACCATACTTCGAATCCCTCAAGTCCGCCTTCGAAATAACAGTCTTCAACGACACCCTCCTCCCCTTCTCCAACCCCGCAACCCCAGACTCCGCCAAACATGAACTCGTTCAACGTCTCAAACCCTTCACCATCATCTCCTCCATGCGCGAACGCACTCCCTTTCCGGATGCTCTACTCTCACGACTCCCCAACCTCAAACTCCTCCTCACAACCGGAACCCGCAATGCAGCCATCGACATGCCCGCCGCAAAGAGACTCGGCATCCACGTGACTGGCACCTTGGGGAATGGACGAACGAATGCAAAGACTGCGAAGCGCAAAGGACCAGATAGTACGACTCAGCACTGCGTTGCTCTCATTCTCGGCATAGCCCGAAACATCGCCCACGACCACGCGGCTGTGCAAACCGGGGGCTGGCAGACGGGTCTCGCAACCGGGCTGAGCGGGAAGACGTTCGCGACATTGGGATTAGGGCGCTTGGGCGTCAATGTAGCGCGGATCATGAGTGTAGCGTTTAGCATGAAGATTGTTGCTTGGAGTAGTAGCCTTACGCAAGATGTGGCTGATGAGAAGGCTCGGGCCGCTGGACTACCGGTTGAGGATGAAGATGGCGAGAAGACGTTCAAGGTCGTGAGTAAAGAGGAGTTGTTCAGGAGCGCAGACGTGCTGAGTGTGCATTATGTGCTTTCTGATCGCTCGCGTGGCATTGTCGGGGCGGCGGATCTCGCGCTGCTCAAACCGTCTGCACTCTTCATCAACACTTCCCGCGGCCCCTTGGTAGACGACGATGCGTTGTATGATGTTTTGCAAGCTGAGAGGATTCGGGGCGCAGCGTTGGATGTTTTTGAACTGGAGCCGTTGCCGGTTGATAGCAGGTGGCGGACGACGGAGTGGGGCAGGCGCGTGCTGTTGAGTCCGCATATGGGGTATGTGGAAGAGGAGACGATTGGGAATTGGTATGAGGAACAGGTTGAGATTGTGGAGCGGTGGGTCAAGGGTGAGGAGTTGCTTAATGTTTTGAATTAGAGATGTATAATGATGAAGTCCTTGATCCGAGCAGTCATTGCCTCGTATCCCAATTTCAAGGTGCTAGACAGCCAGAATACTCAAACCGTAAGTCACAGTCCGACTGAATCGGGTGCTCTGGATGGCTTCAATCGAGTACGGATACTAATTCTAAACCAAAGGCCCTGACTCTATCCACGGCCAACTACTTGGTCTCTCCTCAACAGGTAAGAAAGACAACCTGTTATCTTCACTGTTCATCTGACTAAAACATCGATAGAAACTTCCTGCGCCTTATGTGCTCAACGATGAAGAGTTGTTATACATCAGAATTCTCGTAAGCCGCATTCCAAGCTTCACTCTGAATTCCACTGGTCACAGTGCAGCTCTGGGATATACGCTCGCCGTTCATATTGCTTCAAAGCTAGACCAGATCTACGAAAGTACGGCAAGAGACTTCTTAGAAAACTTTTCTATCGGTATACACAGAGCCCTCTTGGAGCGACCCGTTTGTGGGTATTGGGCTCCAATCAATCATGGCCCCTCCGACGAATTCGATGACCGACTCCTCACGCAAGAAGTACGAGACGTGGAGGTTTTTGCCTGTGCAACAATCGACCGCGTCCAGGTTCCTACACATGAGTCGGTCAAGACGTTCGCGGAGAACCTTGGATACGAAATAATGACCAAGATGGAGTGTATTCCCTGGGGACGCATCAACACCTACCAATTTGCTCAAATATTCTACACCAAGCTCATGGAGCAAGTCGAGCCTGTAATCAAGTTGCCTGTCACGCATGAGCAGTTTAAAAACTTCGATGCACAGATGGAACGTCAGAATCACCCTCAACCTCGCATCGACGACGAGAGACCTGGCTTTAAGGCAGTGACGCAGACAGCTGAGAACGATCCCTTTGGGAAATTGATCGCAGCGCGAGAGCCTAAGCCATCTGCCGAGACTTCTCCATCCGATACACCTACGGATGACATATCGATGTTAAGCAACGACTCTGCCCCTTCGAGCCCCCTCGATATATCGATGTTAAGCGACAACTCTGCTCCCTCAACTCTTGATCGCGGCATACCTTATCCGAAACATAACGGCGGACACAGCAATACGCCCAGTGAAGCTATTACACAAGACCCAGCAGAACTGTCTGACGACGATGAATCTTCGGAGTCGGAAGACACTCCAACCAAGGTGCTGATGCCTCCAGCAAGTAATATGTCTAAGACGCTAGCCCCCTTCTCCATTCCAGCGCCGGCGGCAATGCCTCCAAGAAAGCCTCCTATGAGCCTATGAGGATTTTCAGGTGCAAGGTATCGCGAGGACGGGCCGTAGCGGAGAAAGAATGTTGATATCATTGAGTTCCCAAGTAGGTATTTCAGCGAGATTTTGTAGAGTATATTTCTTCTGTGGTGGTGGTGTGCTTTTGGCGTTGAAGAATTCTGGAGTTGGGTTGATGATGCTGTGTATGGATAGAGTTAGATACCCCTTCTTGATTTACCTAGCCAATAATTTCCTTTTTTGGACCTGCATGCGTGTATCTCGTACCTTGTAGATACTTTAATCGTTACCTCATTCTGTCATGCTGGAGGATGCTTTTGAATTTTTGATATACTATTCGCCAGCGTTATGCTTATACAGACTCGGTTCTGACGAGACATCCTCCAAGAGACTACTAATTTACTTGCCAACTAATATGGAATGCAATGGAGCAGATACTGCCGGTCTTGTGACCATCCTCATGGATGGCGCCCGTGACATTCCCTGCAAAGACAAGAATATCGCACATCTGCGACTTCGACAGCATGTTGCACTTGTCCCTGAACCCCACCGCCGACCTCTTAGACCCCGGCGAACCTAAATCCATCCCAGGGCTATTTTCCCGCTGAACATGTACTCGCATATTGTGGAAGTCCAAATCCCCAAGGATAATAAGAAGCACCAAAACAACCTCAACCAAATAAGAAAGAACAAAGTCAAGGAACTCAACCATCTATTGTCTCTTACAAAACTACCTACTCACAAGGGTATGAGGCATCCAAAATGAAACTCCATACTCCAGCCAGGATATGCCCAAAATTATCTCCATCTACAGGCAGTCATCCAAGTTTTTCTTCATCCCCTCATATCTCTTCTGCCCACCGAAAAAGGTCAAACGGAACATTGCTGTCACAAACCACATGTCTGACACGCTCATCAGGAGTTCCTCCCTCGCCCCACTTCGTAAACAACCCTTTCGCCGATTTTTCACGAGGATTCGCAGCTTCTCTCGCCTTAATACCATTAGCATACGCCCTATACCCAACCAACCGATGCCCAGAACACCACACCGTACCAACAAACCTGTCCACAGCAAAGAATGGCACCCGCTCTAAGCACACCGCAACCTGTTCCCCCAGAAACAAAGCAACAGCTCGAAGGTCCTCGATCGTTGTGGCAGATTCCCGTTTCACAAGACCGGTAGCTGTCTCGGCAAAGCGATATAGAGACATGTATTTCTCGCTCTCTTGGAATGCTTCTTGCTTGGACATGTGGTGCATTTCAAGGTCTTCCTCCTCCCAGTCCCTCACGTCCCAGCTCTGAGCTATTGCCTTCTCAAGCAACGGAACACGCATCCCATCTTTAGCAAGCTCGCGATTTGCCAAAACGGCTTCAGCGCCGCGCAGGAAGTCGTCGATGAATATCTTTGCATTCGTGTGGTCGATGTCGTGTTTGCTGAGGGAATTGTTCAGGAGGAAAGCCAGTTCAAAACCCTTGGTCTTGGCTTCGTTAAGTGATTCTAGGGAGATGGTTTGGATGAGGTATGCGGCTTCCTTGATGACATCTGTGTCTTTTTCAGTGAGTTTGCGGGGTTTAGGAAGTGCCTGATGGGTATGTTGTCAGTGTTGGCTCCGGACATTGAATTGAGATCTTACGGCTCCTAGCCCTTGATGAAGTTCCCCGGCAACAATGAAAGGATTAGACTCATTGGCGGGAATGAAGAGGTAGTCCACTTGCTCGGACATCTGAAACGGAGGACTTGAAAACCTAGAGACGGTCAGTATGCCAGACTTCGCAGCTTGCACGGGGAGTGGGACGGACTGCAAATTTGAGATTTGGAGAATAAATCCTCATAAGCAATAACCAAGAAAAAAAGAGCTTCCAGTGCAGGTTTAATTCACAAATTGTGCGTCACGAGTTCTGCCATGATTTACTCACTAATTATGGATTTGGACAATGCACCAGGAAATTAGTTAATTTAAGGGTTTTATAAGTAAATAATTCAATTGGTCAACCGCTTTTTGTTAGCCAAATTTTCAAGCATTGAAAGTGATGCTATTCGGACTTTTTAGTGTATTTTTTCTACTTTCTTAATTCTTCTACCAAATCATCTATTAATAGGCTAAACCACACTCTATTACCCCTACGCGGAATAGGTAGCTTCTTACGGGAGTGGGTCTTGCAATAAGTTCATCGCCGAGTCCTTATAAAAGCCTGAATATTCTCATCTCCCAGCCCTGTTTGATTTCAACTAATGTGATAGCACATGTGATATCTAACCTTTGATATTCATCTTCATGTTTCTTAGGCATCGAGCTTTGGGATTATATAGAACAATGCAACTATCTCGGCCATCATATAATGAATATATGTACCTAGAAGGACCCCAGAGTTGCAAGGCCCCAAGATTTTCATTTCATACCCAAAAATACCAACTCCCGGCGAAATGAGAGTCTGGGGCCATTGGAAGCAACTAATTCTATACCTGAGGCCTCATTTATGTATTTTGATTAAGATATCTACATCTGCCAAACGATCCCGTAAAGGCAGCAGTGGTGGACCCCTTTTGAAGCGAATACCGTATTGAGGGTCCTCGATACGCCACAGCCGATCCATCGGTTACTTTTATACGACTAAACAAGATTCCATTTCCAAAGTAGAGAATTACTCTGTTAATCTGCAAGAAATCATTTTGCTAGGATATCAAGACAATGGGTAGTGGGCATAATTGCAAGTGTATATATGGGTCAGCCGGCGTGGAGAAAGAGCGCAACCGATGCTTTTAATGACTTAGGATTCGATGAGAAGCCAAAGTGGATCTTTTGCCAACAGAACACCAAGTGGTCTTGCACTGTTCATACCCTTGGCACAACATTTGGGGGTGATGCTATCCATGATTCTCGAACAGATGCTGTGGAAGCTGCTGCCGTTGAGATTCTTACTTTAATTGAGGTGTGTATTATGAATTTGCTTATTATGCATGAGCTGAGGCGAATTAGACATGAAGTCAAAGAATCCTACCAAAGCGAAAATCGAGACTTTCACCGGATCCAAGCCAACTCTGGGAGATGCGGTAGAGGAAGAGGGTTCAGTAGACCGCATGGAGGAATGAGTGTGCTATGTGATTCCCTTTGATCAATTGGATATGTAGACAGATGAATCAATGGCACTTTGTACGCCAATATCTCTGAGCTTCTTTTCCTACTTCGTTATCTAGTTGTGATCTCAAGCGTTGTGGCAAATATGTGATGGATCCAGGATCATAGACCAAATGTTTTCCGTTCACTTGCATGAATTCGGCTGAGGACAAAACAATGGAAACGTTATAGATACTTCATTCATCGTTCTAATTTTTGTTTCCAAGCTACTCATAGCTATTTAGCAAAACATGTGAATGATTTCCTATTTCGGTATAGGCTCCCTTTCCGTCCACCAGTGGCACAGCCTCAGCCTCGTTACAGTCAGTATCAGCCTTTCAGCTAGGACGATTTAAGCCGAGAACGTTTCTTTTCGGATTCGCAACAACATCCATCAACAACTTCGCCCAACCCACCTATCTACCTATAAGCTTGTATCGACTTGCGATGCCATGAACCTCCATAGCTCTGCTACGAGCTTACGATTTTTACGAACCTATCTACGAGATGCCTTTTGTCCCCACACGCAACGGCAATCATGCCGTGCCTTCCACCTGTATCACCTCGTAACGACAAACCAGGTCGTTGGTGTTCACGCAGCCAAAGGGCTGAAGAGAGCCCCGGAATTCGAAGATCCAAAAAATATCGAGTTCAGCCTGTATCATTTGCGTCCGCGCTCCCACCAGTTCCTCAAGCGCTTAACACTCGAAGAGGCTCTACAATCATACATAACGCCTGGGGTCGCGTTGTTCCCGCTGGAGTCTGGCGATAGTGAGGGCGATGGCGATGGCGAAACAAAGACAAACGATCGATTCTTCTTGGCTGAGCTCAAAACAGATGAGGTCGTACCAGAGAATTACTTTCTGAGGAAACGCAAACGCGGGGCCAAGGAGATACATCTAAAACTGAATCAGGGTGTCATGCACCAGATAAATATGTTATCCAAAGTGTGGTTTTTTCTCCGGCATAACGAGCGTGTTGAATTTCACATTCATACCCACAAGCAACCCGGAAGGAGAAAGGAAACGAAACCTTTCGAATTTGCCGATATCCAAAACCAGATGGAATATATCTATCTCCGGCCAGACGTGATTGGAAAAGCTTTACCCACAGATTCGGGAGTGGTGATTCCACCACAGATCGGCAAAGCGGATTTATCCTGGGTGGTCGCAATGCGAGAAAATCCAGAGCAAGATTTCACATCCATAGCGAAAGCAGCAGCCGAGCGTATCGAAGTTGTCAAGCAAGAGCAATTAGACCGCGACGCCCATGGTCTGGGTATAGAACTGAAGAGCGAGAGGCGTAGGATCAAAAGGGAGATGCAGTTAGCCGGGGAACTAAAGAGCTTCAGACAGCAACGAAAAGAAACCTTTGATCAGATCCACGCAGAAGATCCGGAACTAGGAGCATTGGTGAAGCGAAAGGCAAAAAGCTCCACCACACCGCAAGCAATCCTTGAGTTGTATAAACAGGCACAGCGTAACGTGCTATGGCGAAGAGTTTTCCTTGCTACGCTTCAAAAGAATGATCCCAAGATCGCTCATGAGGTGCAAAGGCAGACACTTGGCCACGATAGTCCCGATCGCGTGCGTACTGTACTCAGGGAAGCACAAAGGAACGCACAAATCAACGCACCACATCGCAACGCAACGGAGGAAGAGAACGAAGAATCTTATCAAAGTCGAGAGCCGAAAGTAGCAGCGGCTAGGGACGTATCTGGTCATAAGTCGGGGCGAGACAGCAGAGGAACAGACGAGTCTGCAGAGAATATGGGTCACGGCAGACCCCCCATATCTCGAGGAGAACCGGAGACGAATTGGAGAAGGACCTCCCTCTCCCCACAAGATCCGAAGTATAAGGCTTCCAAAACTTTTTCTTTCAACAAAAAGGATGGATCCA